ACCTAAAACCCTCAAATTTTAACTCAAACTCTAATAATCAAAATTCAACTTATGTGTCACCAATGGGTGAATTCAACAACAATAACAACATAAGCAATTGCAAGGAATCAAACAAAAAGCTTATCTTACCTCAATTAACTTTTAGAAGAAAATTGTAAGAACAACAAACCCTTTGCAGCGGGCTTCTCTCTTTAGAATCCAAGTTTTACAAAACTTGGTCTTGCTTCTACAACACGAACTCATTCAAGGGAGGATCTAGACGCTTCTGGCGAAATTAGAAGAAGAAAAGGCCTTCTTTGATTCCATAGCTTATCTCTCTAACTTATCTCTAGAATTCTTGAAAATAAAACTTATGAAGTTTTAGTTTTCTAAAATCCTTATATATATGTTCTTCCCTTTCTTGGTCAAACTTGACCTTAACTTCAACAACTTTCAATAACCTAATTCTCAAGGATTTTTTAATCCTTAGAGTTCTAACAAATAACTTAAAACACTACAAGCAACTCAAATAACATAAATCAATATAAAAGCATATAATCAACAGATTTATAAAAAAGCGTATTGTTACGAAATTTCCAATAGAAATTTTCAAGGGATCAAATATAGCATATTTAGGAAACTATAGAAATTAAAAGTGGGTTTAAGCCTAAATTATATTATTCTTCTCCTTAAGGGGGCATTTGTTTCACGAATTACAAGTTCGTTCTTAGTAATGTAAGCATAAGAATGTAATATTCACATGCTTGTTATAGATTTTGAAAAATTATTCACAAGTATTATTCTTAGGAAAGTAATCTTACCATATTTTCTACAATATTATTTTCATGTTAAGGGATGAAAAAATGATATTCCCATGAGAATATGAGAAATTATTTTTTAACACACTTGTAACTTTTCTTTTAAATTTTTTTATTTAAATTATTTTAATTTAAAAATATTCTAAAAAAATATTCGAATGCAATTAAACACATTTTCTAAATATATGCCCGAAAATAACATCTCAGTTAAAATACTTCTTAAAATGTAATATGATAGCTTGAAACAAAGGATCTCTAACTTTTAAAAATACACATTCCTGTTCTAAGAGATATAATAAGCTACATTTTAGTTTGTTGTAATATAGATGAACCTTTTAATAAAAGGTATGAGTAATTCCTCTTAGGACATTTTTCCTTTTTTCTACAATATTTAATGTTATGGAAAACCAATTTTGAACTCTATATTATTGATTTTTGACTTTAGGAAGAAAAATGTTTTAATAACCCTTATTATAAGCTTTGAAAGTTTTCCTAAATACCTTTAATTTTATAAAAATTTTAAAGATAGTAATAAAGGTCCAAATAAAAAACACCAGGTTCGGTTTAGTGAGAATAGTTTACGTAATTTAGATGAGTTCAAAACTATCCATTTTCAAAAGTTTGTCTATACTATATTATTAATTACAATTCACAACTAGAGATTAGACAGTTTTAATATTCTTTCAATTAGATGTACATTTCACACAATCCCTGCAACTAAGAAAACAAATTATGTACCAAACTATCTAATTTTATCTTTATTCACTTAATTTAAAAGTAAAAAATTCGTAATATCCCTATCTGCTTTACTTTGAACGTTGGCGTGTAGCACGTGAAGAAGAAAAAAATGATGATAATGAGCAACTACCTTGAATAACAATTGCATTTAGAAGTCTGTCCACATCTACTTTTTTTAAAAATATGAATTAAGGTCAAATGTGATTTTCAAAAGGGAATTATCATGCAAACCAGTTTAGTGGTGAATTAATTTGAAAACATTGAAATGAAAAGTCAAAGTTGTCCACTCTTAACACTAATGCTTTGACTATCTAAAGCAAATTCTATTACAAATGTGTCAAACTATTTAAAGTGCACAATTAATTTATCATGATTGATTGATTGATAATCCTATTTTTAAGTATATAGTTAGGAATTTAATTCTTAAATCTGTGTGTATGAAAAAAATTATCGGATGAAGTACTTCAAGAAATTAATCCTTAACTTTTTTAGTAGAAATCTCTTGATTGATTTCAAAGTGAGGAATTCATTTTTTATTTTGAAAAATAAAATAAATGATTTTAATGATTAGTAAGAAAATCAATTACTAATATTATATTTATTATATTCAGATGCATAATAATTAAATTTATAAATAAATTAGAAATGTATTAGAATATTAATAGTTTGATTTTCTTATTGCTTATTTTAGTTTCTCACTCAACAAGTATTAAATCCAGAAACTTCAATTATGGATTTAGCTTCTTTAAAAAATTTATTATGTTGATTTTCATTAAAATTAATAACTTTAATTTTCTTTACATCTATTTTAACTTTAAAATATGGGTATAAAATAAATGGTTCAAATAAAATTTGATTTGAATTAAAATCGATGGATCAAAAGTAAAAATCACGACTCTGTATATTTTTTGTCAAAAATTATTAAAAATAAACAATTGACTCATCTACAAAAGCATCAAATTTGTTCATTCACGATATATTTGGATTGAATATTATTGTGTACGGAGAGTTTCTATACATATATGTCTCAATAGAAGTATAATAATATTTTCTTTAAACTTAAATCTTTGTAATTTTGTTTTTGGTTATTATTAAAACAAAGTCTAATACAAATAGGTATTTTGTATGTGTTTATAAATTATATCGCTATACCAACGTGAAACTTTGAACATGAGTTATTACTCAAAATTAAATACTTAGAGCATGACATATCGCAACATTTCAATACATATTAATTTTAGCAGCTTTTATGGTGTGAAAACTAAGACCTAAAAATTGGAGTATTATCTGGATGGCACATTTCTATACTTCTATTTGTGGGGAGAATGGTGCCGAATGCCAATTTTGACCAATTTTAATTCCACATACATGAGGATGGACAACAGTAATCTGAATTGACCCAAGTGTTTGTTTTAGATGCTTTCCAATCCAATGCGAACTTGACTTCATAGTAGAGACAACGATGGTAACTTTTCCTAACAAGATACATCAACATAAATTATATAATAATTCTTATATTAAATTATACTTTTTAGTTTCCTATATATTAAAAAAAATCATAATTTTAATTTATTTTTATTTTTAATTTTGCAATTTTAATATTTAATTATATAAAATTTACAATTTTGATCCTTTGGTGGAATGTTCATCTAGTAATCATTAAAATTATAATATTAATTATGATTCAATATTAAGTATATAACACAATTATTAATATTTAATAATGTTAAATTTAATTGCACTTTTAATTATCATTTTATCTATTTTTTTTAACCTATTTTATTACCTTTATGAGTTAAAAATAAGAATTAAAAGTGAGATTAGTTTGAATGTTTTATTAAATTTTGATAATCACATCATCTATTTAATGTTGTGTTATGATTAACATTACAATTTTAATAATTAATGAATGAACGTTTGATGAGGAGATCAAAATTATGAATTTTATTAAATTGAAGAACTAAAATTTTAGAATTAAAAATATAGAGACTAAAATTGTGAATTTAATATTATAGGAAAATCAAAAATGTAATTTAATCTAACTCTTATAACAAAGCTGTAAAAAAAATAAAAATAAAAATTGTTGCAACAAAGAGAAAGTAAAAGAGAGGAAAGATTACTATTTCATATATTCATGCATTAGCATTGTAAATTACTTGTTTGCGTCGAACTCAAGATAAAATTCAAAGCATAGAAGCCTGATTGGTAAAGTGGCTGAAATAAAACACCAATGAAGATGTTTCGTTTAGGGTTTATAGTTCATCAAAATATCTGAAATTGAAAATAGAATTTCTATCTAACATTAGAGTAAAAAAAACAATAATTACATATGAATCAATCAAATATATTATAGATATGATTTTAAACTAATTACTGCAAAAGATAACAAGAATACTTGATATTGTCCGTATACATATTATATATATATATATATATATATA